CCTATAACAAATCGTGGGCCCGTCGAGGAGGACGCAATGTCGAGTACGACAACTTCTGAAGGATTCCGAACCTGCGGAGAGCGGGCCAATGATTTTTGAGAACAACTTGGAACGCATTCCGAAGACCAATGAGGAAGTGCTTAAAAGAAGAAGATTGAAGAAAGCGGCAAAGCGAATAATGGAGAAATGCACGCTTCAATGTCTAATCGTTCAGAGTGGGCTGGTCACTTTGGTTAAGCAGATTGATACTGAAATGGGATCGTCGCCTCGCAAAGTACAACTTCTTGTCTTGACCAACGAATGAACTAGTTGAGATTGGAGGGGCAACCTTGAACTCGTTGTTGGGAGTTACCGCGTCTACACGTACATGATGCAAGAACAAAAACTGGAACCCGCGTTGGAGCCTGCACACAGCATGATGGAAGGACATCTACGCATCTAACAACAACAACTAAGTGTTCAAAATAGGAGCATTCTTTGACAGCCTCATACTGCCTCTAAAATGCAGACGCTGTTACGAAAGTTCAGCACACCTTTTCTCTACGGTCCTATCCAAAGTTGGTCTTTCTTCTATAATATTATGCATCTGCGAGCGTGCAACAATACAACCTCCGGTGTCTGCCGCTCGATTGGCCAAAATTCGGTTCACTTCCGTGTACTTTTCGCTGCCATATCCTGGAGAGGGCTCAGAATGTTACAATTCTCTAATGGAGGTCAAGAACGCACCAGGAGTAAATTCGATAAGATTCATCTTGAAAAGAGCCATTAGCTCAGGCCAGGAAGATGACTTGTCCGGATATGTCTTGAAACAGTATGGTAGCATTGCCACAGTCTGAACATTCAATTCAGGTTAGCTTTCGTGCTGCTCCTGCTAACCTGGTGGCCCTTGGATATGAAATACCAAAGAGCTATCGTTACTCCGCGCACGTTCAGACGCTTGTCTTTGTCACATTGCGTGTAGCTGTAATTGCATAATGTTTCGAAGCTGGCAAAAGGATTGAAGGTATAGAGCCTTCAATGGATCCTTGTCTCTAAAGACTAACGCG